CCATTACTACACGATATAACCATTACTACACGATATAGCCATTACTACACGATATAGCCATTACTACACGATATAACCATTACTACACGATATAACAATTACTACACGATATAGTCATTACTACACGTATAGTCATTACTACACGATATAGCCATTGCTACACGATATAGCCATTGCTACACGATATAGCCATTGCTACTCGACAACGCCATAAAGTCCATTTAGGACTCAGGGACTAAACGATTGATACTCTACTGCAATGCTAAAATTTACAGCTCTGGCAGCATCAGATAATATATTGTCAAACTTGCATTTCATGTTTACTGTGCTAGAATAAATTTAAGTTGTATGATTTGAACCCATGAATATTTAATTAAAGTTTAAATAGATCTCTGACAAGTTTCTATTTCTTTTATATATTGTATTATTACATGTTACTCTTGTTTTTCTTCTAAAACGACTTAGATTCAACACTTGTCGGGCACATCATTTTGAAAGGCATTTATAGAAAATAGAAAACAAATAACAAGAAAGAAATAATCATTTTTGAGTCACATCCTTTTTTTGTCTTTTACAGCATGTGCTTGGAATAACCCAGGTATGGATGGAGGGTAAAATCCCTATCGTCTGCCGTAATCAACTCTGTCAAAGTAGTCTGATTCCTTAATGCTAGCTTATCATTAAAGTTTAATCGGAATACATTCTGTGTGCATGTTATATATATCAGTACAATTAAATATCGGAAGAATGTATTGGTAAAGTACATACGCTGGGAAAAAATGATCGGTCAATTACCGATGACCTTGGATCTGATGAGCTTCAGCCTAAAAACCGTCTGTATCACAAACTCAAGATTATCTAGGTATAAAATAAATCTTGTTTCTCAACGAGAGCACGTGTATTGTATAAACGTTACCTCTGACCCTGTCGAACACGTGTATTGTATAAACATTACCTCTGACCCTGTCGAACACGTGTATTGTGTAAACGTTACCTCTGGCCCTGTCGAACACGTAGTATTGTATAAACGTTACCTCTGACCCTGTCGAACACGTGTATTGTGTAAACGTTACCTCTGGCCCTGTCGAATACGTAGTATTGTATAAACGTTACCTCTGACCCTGTCAAACACGTGTATTGTATAAACGTTACCTCTGACCCTGTCGAACACGTTTATTGTATAAACATTACCTCTGACCCTGTCGAACACGTGTATTATATAAACGTTACCTCTGACCCTGTCGAACACGTAGCATTGTGTAGATATAACCTATGACCCAGTCGAACATATAGACGCCATTCGTTGGATTCTTCTCTCGTGACATCACGTGAATTGCTTATGCATGACAATAATGTAAACATGCCTTCCACCCTGCGCGCGGTGGGATAAGTACCAGAATTTCAGTAAATGGAATTCTAAATATTTTCATACCGATATACTTTTATTTTATGATTTCCTTTTCCTGACGGATTGTGGCACGGTAACTTTAATGCATTAAAATGCAGTCTCTAAATTCCTGAAAAATACATTGAACAAGTACATACGTCAAAATACAGCTTATTGTACCNCTTTTTTTTCCCCAATTTTTTTTTTTTTTTTTTTTTTTTTTATATATTTGTATTTTATTGAAAATGTACTACATGTAATACAACTGATTTGATCAATCTGTTTTGTGCTGTGTCACTGACAATATTGGAAGAGTAATGTGGCTCTTTATGTGGTTGGAATATTTTTTGTCAAAACAGCTAAAACATGCGACCTTGGGATAAAACAATATCTGAGTCATACAATTTAACTGTACAGCATACTAGGGTGACGTTGCTGAAGATATTAAAATTGTCTTAAGCAGATTGTGATTGATCTGTTTATAATCAGCGCTTATTGATCTAGGGTGATATGCTGAAATATTTTGTAGACATAGCGTACACAGATCCGTATTGTAGTCGTTATAATCGCTGCCTGGTGCCACTGCCAAATCCACTGTCCGGAAACCATATCGCTAGACAAAATGGCCACACGCTATCACGTATCCATATTGGTGGCATATATTGCACTCATACTAACAACGACGTTAATGCATAGCACGTCACTTATGGAACTGGCGTCTTTGTCTGTCAACACGCCTGCAGTGGAGTTGCGCTATAGATGTACTTACAAGACAAATACTAATGTACATTGTACTATCCTGTTAATTTTCGCGGTAACTTTATTTTCAACTTAAAGGAAATCTGCCAATTCAACACACGACAATACATTGCTAGTCAAGTAATAAGACAGACTCGTTAATCGCAGAATAATGTAGCAGGAGAGGAAAAACGCACGGCCAGACCGGGGTTTGAACCCGGGACATTCAGAACTCTAGACGGACGCTCAACAGATTGAGATATCTGGTAGCCGACGATCGACCCAGTACGGTTCCGCTACATTCCTCCCTCCTTTAACAAAGTCTTCGATCCTGAAGACACACAAGACCCTATACCACTTCCTGTGGGTACAGTTCGTTGGGCGCCAAATGAAACAAGAAAGGGAAAATGCACGGCCAGAACGGGGTTCGAACCCGGGACCTTCCGAACTCTAGACAGACACTCAACCCATTGAGCTAGTTGGTCGCCGACGTTGGACCCAGTTCAGTTCCGCTGAAATAGTAAATCAAACAGCAAAAACCACGAGACGCGTTGTTGTTTTTTTACGTGTATTCAATATAAACATGAAATCTGCATGCAGTATTCAAAAGGAATAAAAATCAATGTTTTGTATTTCTGATTATAATTTAAGATACACATTTCCTTAATAAATGACAAAACTCATCGGTATAACGCCTTATATCAACTGAACCCTATAATTAGGTTGATATTTTTTAATACGGGCCTATTCATATTCATTAATTTATACTCAAATTGAGTCATCGAACTTATGAATTCTGATAAGAATCGACCCGATGGTGGTTTATCATTAGTAATTACAATCTCTGTACGTGTCTACGACCATAATCTCAATCTAATACACCTGTCCAGGTAGGTTAATGAGATAGTTCTAATCAAGGTGTGTCCAACCATGTGTGACGAGGAGCCATTTTGTGCGTAGGATTGAGATAACTAATTGTTAAATAAAATAAATAACCTTTGACCTATCAGTATATGTTACGTTTGATATCTTAATTACAAAACAACGGACCTTCTTCGGTACACTATGCGACGCCATTACGCTATGGACTAATGTTCGAACGAAGGAAGAAATGCCTCTGGGCCTTGTTACTTTGTAAGTAAATCCTTAGTTTAAATGTTTATAAATAATTTTAATTGAAAATGCAGAACATTACGAAAACATTAAATTGAAATTCATCGTTTCTGTAAACAAATTAACATTTAAACCCTGGGAACATCAAAGATATTGTCAATACAATAAAACGTCATCGTTTAAAACACAATACTACGTGTATTGCTTTGTCCAAAAAGAAATAACTGTAAACCATTCTTAGGCTGAAATGTTGCAAAAGAATGTAAAACGTAAAATACACCACTTCTTAAGTAATGAATAGGACCTACTGTTTATTACATATATTTTCCGGTAAAAATAAATGGTACATGTATGATTCAGAGCAGAAGACATTACTATCCAATGTAATTCTATTATAATTCTGTTGATCCTTTTCCACATTTCATGTAACGAAACTAACCAGAACAGATCCGCTTCATAACAACTTTGTAAGGTTTGACAGACAGCTGGCACATTGAGTGTACATTGTATGTGTAGTGTCGTATACGTATTACGTGTACCGACAGTGACGTCTGGGGGTTGGGGAGGGTTAGTATCGTGTGAAAAAAACTTCGCCGTTTGATAGAGGGTAAGTGACGTGTGAACAAAAAAAACATTGAGGTTTGGTAGAGGGTTAGTGACATGTGAAAAACCATTGACGTTTGGTAGAGGGTTAGTGTCGTCTGAAAAAACCCATCGACATTTGGTAGAGGGTTAGTGTCGTATGAAAAAACATTGACGTTTGGTAGAGGGTTAGTGACGTGTGAAAAAACATTGACGTTTGAATTGGTAGAGGGTTAGTGACATGTGAAAAAACATTGACGTTTGGTAGAGGGTTAGAGACGTGTGAAAAAAACCCATCGCCATTTGGTAGAGGGTTAGTGTCGTATGAAAAATCATTGACATCTGTTGGAGGGGAAGTGTCGCGTGAAAAAAATCATCGACGTTTGGTTGAGGGGTAGTGTCGTGTGAAAAAACCCATTGACGCTTGGTAGAGGGTTATTCATTGACGTGTGAAAAAAACCCATCGATATTTGGTAGAGGAACATCGACGTCACGTGGAGGTAAATTAAAAGTATATCGTGTGTAGGACATCGACGTCTGTTGAAGGGTAGTGTCGTGTGGAGGACAGCGACGACTGGTGGAGGGGAAGTGTCGTGTTGAAGACAGCGACGTCTGGTGGAGGGGTAGTGTCGTGTGGAGGACAGCGACGTTTGGTGTGTGTGTGTGTGGGGGGGGGGGGGGGGGGGAAGTAGTAGTCTCAGGTGGAGAACGGAGAACAGCTACGTCCGGAAGAGGGGTTGTGTCGCGTGAAAAACAAAGTATCGACGTTTTGTAGAGGGTTAGTGTCGTGTGAAAAAACAACGACGTTTGGTAGATTGATAATGTCTTGTTCATTTGACAAACAACAATGTCTGGTGGAAGGGTAATTGGCATGCGACATGCGACATGTGATATGTGGAAAACCAACGATGTCTGGTGGATTCGTATTATCGTCACAGACAGACAGAGACCTCTGGTAGATGGGTAGTGTTATGGGACAGATATAGACGTCTGGTGAAGTATCAGTGTTGTGTGACAGACAGCGACCTCTGGTAGATGGGTAGTGTTATGGGACAGATAGAGACGTCTGGTGAAGTATCAGTATTGTGTGACAGACAGAGACGTCTAGTTGAGGGGTAGTGTTATGGGACAGACAGAGACGTCTAGTTGAGGGGTAGTGTTATGGGACAGACAGAGACGTCTAGTTGAGGGGTAATGCTATGTGATAGACAGAGACGTCTAGTTGAGGGGTAGTGTTGTGTGACAGACAGAGACGTCTAGTTGAGGGGTAGTGTTATGGGACAGACAGAGACGTCTAGTTGAGGGGTAGTGTTATGGGACAGATAGAGACGTCTGATGGAGAGGTAGTGTTGAGTGACAGACAAAGACGTCTAGTTGAGGGGTAGTGTAATGTGACAGACAGAGACGTCTGATGGAGAGGTAGTGTTGTGTGACAGACAAAGACGTCTAGTAAAGGGGTAGTGTTGTGTGACAGACAGAGACGTCTGGTTGAGGGGTAGTGTTGTGTGACAGACAAAGACTTCTGATGGAGGGGTAGTGTTGTGTGACAGACAGAGACTTCTGATGGAGGGGAAGTGTTTTGTGACAAACAGAGACGTATCGTTGAGTGGTAGTGTTGGGTGATAGACAGAGACGTCTGGTGGAAGGGTAGTGTTGTGTGACAGACAGGGACGTCTGATTGAGGGATAGTGTTGTGTGACTGACAGAGATGTCTGTTGGAGAGGTTGTGTTATGTGACATACAGAGACTTCCGGTTGAGAGGTAGTGTTGTGTGTTAGACAGAGACTTCTGGTGAAGGGGAAGTGTTGTGTGACAGACAGAGACTTCTGGTGGAGGGGAAGTGTTGTGTGATAGACACAGACGTTTGGTGGAGGGGTTGTGTTATGTGACAGACATAGACGTCTGGTGGAGGGGTTGTGTTGTGTGACAGACAGAGGCGTTTGGTGGGGGAGTTGTGTTGTGTGACAAACAGAGACATCCGGTGGAGAGGAAGTGTTTTATGACAAACAGCGACGTCTCGTTGAGTGGTCGTATTGTGTGACAGACAGAGACGTTTGGTGGAGGGGTAGAAGTTTTGTTTGACAAACAGAAACGTTTGGTGGAGGGGTAGTGTTATGTTAAAGACAGAGACGTCTGGTTGAGGGTTAGTGTTGTGTGACATACAGAGACGTCTGGTAGATGGGTAGTGTTGTTTGACAAACAACGACGTCTGGTTGAGGGGTTGTTTTGTTTGACAAACAGAGACGTCTAGTGGAGGAATAGTGTTGTGTGACAGACAGAGACGTCTAGTGGAGGTATAGTGTTGTGTGATGGACAGAGACGTTCGGTGGAGGGGTAGTGTTGTGGACATACAAAGACGTCTGGTAGATGGGTTGTGTTGTTTGACAGACATCGACGTCTGGTTGAGGGGTTGTTTTGTTTGACAGACAGAGACGTTCTGGTGAGGGACGGACAAAGACGGTATGTTGGAGGTAGTGTTATGTGACAGACAGAGACGTTTGTTGTAGAGGTAGTGTTGTGTGAAAAACAGAGAATTCTAATTGAGGGATAGTGTTGTGTGACAGACAGAAACGTCTGTTGGAGGTGTAGTGTTGTGTGACAAACAAAGACGTTTTGTGGGGTTGTAGTGTTGTGTGACAGACAGAGACGTTTGGTTGAGGGGTAATGTTGTGCGACAGACAGACAGAGAAATCTGATTGAGGGGTAGCGTTGTGTGACAGACATATCCTTTTGTTGGAGGGGTTATAATGTCTGGCAGACAGAGATGTCTGGTTGAGGGGTAGTATTGTGTGATAAACAGAGACGTCTGGTAGATGAATAGTGGTGTTTGACAGACAGGGACGTCTGGTTGAGGGGTTGTGTTGTGTGACAGACAGAGTCGTTTGGTCAAGGGGGAGTGTTGTTTGACAAACAGCGACGTTTGTTGTAGAGGTAGTGTTGTGTGACAAACAGAGACGTCTAGTGGAGGTATAGTGTTGTGTGACAGACAGAGACGTCTGGTAGAGGGGTAGTGTTGTGTGACAGACAGAGACGTCTGGTGGAGGGGTTGTGTTGTGTAACATACAGAGACGTCTGGTGGAGCGATTGTGTTGTATGGCATACATAGACGTCTGTTTGAGGGTTAGTGTATTGTGACAAACAGAGACGTCTCGTGGCGAGGTTGTGTTGTGTGACAACCGGCGACGTCTCGTTAAGAGGTAGTGTTGTGGACATACACAGACGTCTGGTAGATGGGTAGTGTTGTTTGACAGACAGCGACGTCTGGTTGAGAGGTTGTTTTGTTTGACAGACAGAGACGTTTGGTGGAGGGGTAGTGTTATGTGACAGACAGAGACGTTTGTTGTAGAGGTAGTGTTGTGTGACATACAGAGACGTCTGGTGGAGGGCTTGTGTTGTGTGATAAACAGAGATGTCTGATGGAGAGGTTATGTTGTGTGACAGACAACGACGGCTCGTTAAGGGGTAGTGCTGTGTGATAGACCGAGACGTCTGGTGGAGGGGTTGTGTTGTGTTACAGACAGAGACGTTTGGATGAGGGGTTGTGTTGTGTGAAAGACGGATACGTCTGTTGGAGGGGTTGTGTTGTGTGATAGACGGATACGTCTGCTGGAGGGGTTGTGTTGTATGAAAGACGGATACGTCTGTTGGGGGTGTTGTTTTGTGTGAAAGACGGATACGTTTGTTGGAGGGGTTGTGTTGTGTGATAGACGGATACGTCTTTTGGAGGGGTTGTGTTGTGTGATAGACGGATATGTCTGCTGGAGGGGTTGTGTTGTGTGATAGACGGATACGTCTGCTGGAGGGGTTGTTTTGTGTGAAAAACGGATACGTCTGTTGGGAGGGGTTGTTTTGTGTGAAAGACGGATACGTCTGTTGGAGGGGTTGTGTTGTGTGATACATGTAGACGGATACGTCTGTTGGAGGGGTTGTGTTGTGTGATAGACGGATACGTCTGTTGTTGGGGTTGTGTTGTGTGATAGAAGGATACGTCTGTTGGAGGGGTTGTGTTGTGTGATACATGTAGACGGCTACGTCTGTTGGAGGGGTTGTGTTGTGTGATAGACGGATACGTCTGTTGGAGGGGTTGTGTTGTGTAATAAACGGATACGTCTGTTGGAGGGGTTGTGTTGTGTGATATACAGACACGTCTGTTGGAGGGGTTGTGTTGAGTGATAGACAGAGACGTCTGGAGAAGGTATAGTTTCATGTGACAGACAGCGACACCCGGTGAAGGGTTAGTTTCAGGTGACAGACAACGACACCTGGTGAAGGTATAGTTTCATGTGACAGACAGCGAAACCCAGTGAAGGATTAGTTTCGCGTGACAAACAACGACACCCGGTGAAGGGTTAGTTTCATGTGACAGACAGCGACACTTGGTGAAGGGTTAGTTTCATGTGACAGACAGCGACACTTGGTGAAGGGTTAGTTTCATATGACAGACAGCGACACCCAGTGAAGGATTAGTTTCGTGTGAAAGAAAGCGACATCGGTATAGGGTTAGTTTCTTTTGAAATACAGCCACGCCTTGAAGAGCTGTATTGTTCGACGGCTGCTTGGCCGACTGGGACGTCTAGTGGATTGTTTACAATACCATCCACCAAACGTCTCTGTATATGATATACTTCTAGACTTGAGTTACATTTGTTTTAAATATTCGTGTGGCTGAACATTCAAATAATATTTCAAGTAACTATTATTTTTCCACTAAAACATGAATATTGGCTCAACATATTGCTTACACTCTCAAGCAACGCCTCGGCCTAGTGTTTTGGGCCACTAAAATATAAAAAAAAATATGGTTCAGCGCATTGTTCATTCATGTAAGTGCATCACTCCTATAATAGTTTTCTGTCTATCAGCTGATGGGATTTTACATGACGACGCTCACAAACTGAAAAGTTAAAAAGTTAAGAAGGACAAAGTGTATGTCTTCGGGGCATTGCTGTTTAATATATTACCAAGCAAGACACCCCTCCCCACAATCCCATAGCGATTTGTGCTATAATTTAATGAACTATAATTATCCCATTTGTAACTATAAATTAACTCGATAAATCCAACATCTGCTACTGATAGTATATATCGGTGGATATCATTTGTCCTCCGGCGGATCGTGTTACGGTAAATGACACGTACAGAGTAAGATAACGTGCTATCACGAGAGCCCTTCTCACGCGCGGGTGCGTTCGATTGTACACATTCAGTGTGGGTTCGCAATCGGAACTCGTATCAAGCCTCGCTTGAAGATTTTACAAATTTAACCATTTGTATACATCAATAAATAACTGTCAAAGTTACTCTGTGTACCTTAATGTCAAATTCGTATTAGCAAATGTTCTATTAAGAATGTTTAATAGCAAATATGTAAACACGTGGATATATTGTAGAATACGACTAATTATATTGGTATATTTAAAAGATTCAAGTAAGATTAAGAAATACTTCCGTGGATACAGATGTGTTAAATTACGTTTACGGGCATTCTACTGACCAGATCTTTAATCTTACATGTACACCAATGTACATGTAATATAAAACGATCTACTTCCCTGAAAATTGACTACATATTATTTGTATGTTTTTGTTTTCTTTTACTAAAATACTAGACGTTTGATCTCCCAAGTAAACGTTCAATATTTTGTTGTAAAATTCGATATTCAGAGAGACGAAAATGTTTAATCCTGTGCGCTCATAAGATATTGTGTTATTATGAGTGAGTCAAGATCTACGACCAACTCCCTAATTGTACATTGATTTGATATACAAAGGGACTTTAGAGCTTTTTTCAAATAAACCTTCTTTCTGTGATTTTATATTAAACTTCCTACAGGTAAGCGTCGCCCTGCATGTTCGGGGAATAGGTCTGCTGTATCCCACTGCATTCCCAAAAGAGGCGACTCATGTGGGATACCTGCAGAGTCGTGGGGTTTAGTCCGTATCCTCTGTTTATTGGACATCAAAGAGACCGAAACGGACCTACTAATTTATTACAAAACTTGGGATCTATATTTTTTCTATTCTCACTTCTCTACGCTGTCTTATTGGCTGTCTCCTCAGTCTTCTGTCCTTATATGACTATATTTACATTTGCTCTGCAACCTTCCGTTGTAATACATTGCGAAGGGAAATGTTGTTATGAGACTATAACAACATTTGCTCTTGTAACGTCACCAATTTCGTTGTTGTCAACACTTTATTTGCGGTTCAAAAACCTTTCGAAATAACTAAATAAAGCATAATAACTCAATCAAAATGTAAACAAAAATAATGAATATTTTAGCAAATGTTGTTATGGTCCTATAACACACATTTCTATTGCTGGCAAACTAATATACAGCCCTTCGGGCTTGATTAAGTTTGCCATCAATAGCAATGTGTGTTAAAGGACCATAACAACATTTGCTAAAACACACATTGCTTGATTAGCTGTTGCAAGGACTTTATATCCCAAACAAACAAACTACAGTTAACCAACTATTTAAGGTAAAGAGTACCACTGCATCCGTTATAATCACGAAAAAGAGTTCCGCTCAAAGTTTTTCCTTACTTTGTTTATTCTCCCTTCTAAACAGGACATTGAGAACCAAAAGATTTTGTTCTGGCTTTGAGTAACTACCCCTGTAGAAGTTTTCATACATAATTTGCAATCCATAAATTAGACACACACGTGCACTTTGATACCGTGCTTGATAGAGGAGAGTCACGCTACAGTAAGGCGTCACTTATCCTTAAACTAATGAAACCACTGAATCTTATTGTATTTTATATTTTAGTTTGGATGGACTCCTCGGGCCGATTCTCTATGCCCCTGGGTCTAAAATCGCTTTTGATGATAACTACATCGACCGCATCAGCCGTTACTACACCATAATGTTCCTCCTCTTCTTCAATATCTACGTAGTCACCGAGGAGTATGTTGGAAAACCAATCTACTGCTGGTGTCCCCCAGAGTTCACCGAAAACGAGGTTAAATACACCAACGACCTCTGCTGGGTGTCAAACACTTATTATCTCCCCTTTGAAATCCAAGTTCCCGCGTACTTTCAGGAAAGAAAAGACGAGTCGGACGAAATCACTTATTACCAATGGGTACCATTAGTGTTATTCCTACAAGCTTTGATGTTTTATCTTCCAAGACTCGTGTGGAAATTGTACGCAACCCGAGCAGGAATTGAGGTGAAGAAAATGTGTATTTTAGCTAAATTGAGCATCGATGTGTTTGCCGAAGATCGAGAACAACGACTCCGCCATATTGCCTCTTATCTCGATGCGTACGCAGTGAATACGAAACATTTTCGTGGCGGAATATGTTCACCAGTGCGCGAAAAATTCGCCAAGCAAATCGGCTTTGGGTGTGGAAGACACTTCGGAAATTTCTTCATTACATTGAGTATTCTAGTCCGCTTGCTTTACTTCGCCAACGCCTTCGGACAGCTGTTCTTCTTGAATGAATTTCTTGGAAATAAGTTTTATTTATTTGGCATAGAAGTTGTCCAGGCTTTCCTCGCTGGTCTAGACTGGACAATGTCTCCTCGATTTCCAAGAATGACCTTGTGTGATCTAGATCGCAGACAGCTATCGAACGTTAATCGATATACATTGCAATGTGTCATTCCAATTAACTTATACAATGAAAAGATATTTCTATTCCTGTGGTTCTGGTTTTTAATCATTTCCGTTCTTAGTCTTGTGAATTTGTGCGTGACAATAGTAATAGCCGCTTTACCCCACTACAAAGAGACTTTCATGATGAAGTACTTAAAAATGGCAAAAATCTATGACGTCAAACAAAAAAGTTCACAAAGGAAAGTTTGTAGAAGGTTTCTTAAAATATACTTGACTCAAGATACGGTATTTGTGATAAAGAGAATCTCTGACAACACTAACACTGCTGTGACTACAGACGTTGTCATGTATCTTTTCTACCGGTTTTTAAATCGAGAGAGAAAACGAACCGGAAATGATAATATTTTGAAGTTATTTCCGCCGGAACCGGAAGAAAAATTCAGCAATGGCGCTGGTGGCGGTCAGAAAATGGGTGGTGGAGGCGGTGGTGGCGGCGGGAGAAAAGGAAAAAAGAGAAAATGATCAGATCGATTATTATCGGGATTATTGGTGCAATATTTTCTTCACCATTGCTGTATCGTGTCGATTTCATTTTGTTCTTTATAAGAACTATCATCTTTACATGCTTAGTGCACCTAATAAAATCTGGAATTTTTTCTCTGTTATAATTTTATTAAATCAAATACGACTTATATATAATTAATCATGTCTGTGTATGTTTAGAACTTTAGCCGCAGCAGTGTCTTAATTAATAAACATAAGATGTGAAATAGTGTGCTACGATATCCGCTAACTACCAGCTTCCAAAAAGTAAGTTTGGATGCCGTAGCGGTTAGCAGTTCGTTACGTTTTACAATGTCATATATTGTAAAGTGACATATTGTCGATTAATGAATTAAGCATAGGTATAACGCCTCGATGGTCGTAACGGTAACCGCTACAGCAGCCAAGCTTACGTTTTGGAAAGAGGCGGTGGTGTAACGATTACTTGGTATTTTTCAGCTTGGCGATTTGCTGCTTTGTGTTCGAGGTTTTGAATTTACAAACGAATAATGTACATTCATCATAAATCAACCATTTCATTTATCTGAAGGTAATAATTTTGCGTGTACCACCTCGGGTTGATATATGTAGTGTATAATGTTATTTGAAGGTGATAATTTTGCGTGTACCAACTCGGGTTGATTTAAGTAGTGTATAATGTTTTTTGAAGGTGATAATTTTGCGTGTACCACCTCGGGTTGATATATGTAGTGTATAATGTTATTTGAAGGTGATAATTTTGCGTGTACCAACTCGGGTTGATTTAAGTAGTGTATAATGTTTTTTGAAGGTGATAATTTTGCGTGTACCACCTCGGGTTGATATATGTAGTGTATAATGTTATTTGAGGGTGATCATTTTGAACCCTTTGACATTCCTATTTCAGCTTCCATTTCAATAAACATGAAAAGTCGTCAATTTGAATAGGTTTGTATGTGTAATGAAGTTAATAATGGAAGGTTATTGAGAAACGTTTATCAATGTATCAAAGTTAGAGACCAGTATCAGTATAGTTCCAGTTCCAAACAAAAACACACAAATCAACATTATAGTTTACATAAGATATATGTCAATTTATATAAATAATATTGTGAATTGTCAATTTACTCGGACAGTAAAAAGTAGTCATCAAACAGATACGGAGAAGAGCTGTATCATTACATGTGAGAGTATAGCAGTTCGTTTCTAACTTAAGTGCAATTAAAATGTCTGTACTAAATTGAAAATTAAGATATCGAATTTGGTAATAATGCAACATTTTTTTCATATTGTTTAGTACAGTGTATATGTGCGATACTTTTACTAAGATGTAGATGTATAACAATACTTAATTAACACATTACAGTTATGAAGAACAATATAATAACCTAAATATATACGCCTCCTGGATATTAAATATAAATAGTTTCCAAAATTGGATAGCTCTCAAACATTTTTATCCTAAGGAGTTGTATTAATTTGAAAATGGGAGGGTGTGTGTCTCTGTAATAGTATTATTTAATTAATATGTGTATGAAATGGACAAATCAAGACAAAATGGAATTCATCTTCAATACCTCTCAAATAACATCGGGTACAAATCCTGTTGCTGCGTGCGACATTACATGTACAATGTCTTCCAAATTATAAATTTGTCATAAAACAATATCCTAAATCTGTCATAAAACAATATCCTAAATCTGTCATAAAACAATATCCTAAATCTGTCTAACATGAGTTGATACTTCCCATGACTTTACTGAAATAAAATTTAAAACAATGACTTTCTATAAATAAAGAATCTGAAATCTTTATCCGAATCTAAGTAATTTGTCTTGCAGTGTCTAGATCAATGTGACGCTCTGATCATATCTCAACGTTACAACCTTCCTTTAATCAACAATTAACACTATAACTAATTAAATCTAATTAGTCACTTATCTTATATCCTCAAAGTTAAAAACAATTGTATTGAGATTCTTAATTAATCTATGTATAAGAAAACATCAATGTTTCTGAAAATCTATGCGTTTTTGACCTATGGCTGTTTTGGTAAATGGTAGGTCATTCGGTACGCCCTTGACACGCACGCACCTACGTCAATGCTATAAGTCATAACATTGTCAACTTTATAAACAAATGGGAAATAAACCTTTTTTTCTACGTTCTCAAAAGAGTACAAAGACATATTCTTAAATCATTGAAGAACGAATGTCGTTCATTCGATTAAGAAATTTTCCGTTAAGACAAAAGATTGAAAAATGCAAGAACTTGCATATGTTTTCTTAAACTGATCTCCTCTTCTAGACACACACCTACCGTTTAATCTTGCAGTACAGTGTGGTTGGTGTACCATTAATTTTCCTGTAAACCCTGAAAAGTTGACTAATTTTTGCATAACGCATTTTATTCTATCTACTTAATGCATTTCAAGTGTATTACTATCAAGACATATTCATCTGATTATACATTAAACAATTACATTAGCAGATATGACAATGCCCCTTACCATGTGATCTAGACTGGTATAGACTTGTCAGGATATGTACAAAGAATCACACACCGTGACGACGGCGTTGTATAGGGAATGTGTGCACGGCCCATTTAAACAGTCAAAAATCTACATTATAGTGTCAATCCGTGATCTGTTACTAAAGATATCAAGATGTGATATTTGATATTAACGATTGCAAAAGGACTTACGACAGCTCAAAAAAAAAATAAAAAAAAAAAAAATTTTTATTCAGTTTTTCAAAGCACATACACATGACAATATTTGGGAGACTATAACATACTTCACTGTACTCTCATCCTAAACATTCCATACACATTTCATGTTAACCATACTCATTTCATGTTAACCATACACATTTCATGTTAACCATACTCATTTCATATACCCACTTTTCTAAGTATTGGGTCTGAAGAAAATATTAATCTGAGTTACTGATCGTGTGTACTATCATGATCATAACAGAGCATGCTAATTTATGGTATATTTATTTCAAACATTTCATATATCCTCATACACAACATAGATCTGTATAGAACATGCATATCAAATATTTCATACACCTGTAAAGAACAGTTATATAAAAAAAAAAGTCATACACATCATACATCCGTATAGAAACACTTATATTAAACATTTCATTCACACCATGCATTTGTGCAGAAACATTCATACAACAGTATGGAACATTTATCTTAAATATTTCATACATGCCATACATCTGTATAGAAACATTCATATCAAACATTTCATACACTCCATACATTTGTATAGAAACATTCTTATTAAACATTTCATATACACCATACATCTGTATAGAAACATTCATAATTTAACATTTCATATACACCATACATCAGTAAAGAAACATTCATAATTTAACATTTCATATACACCAGTTCTGTACAAAATATTCATCTCTATACATGATGTACATTTAAAAAAAATGTATATGAATAGTTCTCACACTATCATTCAATATATTATACACAAGCAACTACCTTAGTATGATAGTATATATGTATTAGCGCATATGTTATCAATCTATCCAAGATGTCATTTCAAAACATTGGAATAAACACTAATCCTATTAGTCATGTGTTGTGGTTTTATTGAAAGAAAGAAATAGAGACAGACAGATAATTACTGGAAAAACAAAGACAGACAAAAACAAAAGTAGACATGTGCACAGAGGCAAAGACAAACAAGACACAGGCAAGAACTGCCAGATAGACAGACATACAAAGACAGACACACAAGACATATACGCACAAAGACAATCGACACAGAGACAAGGACGACAGATTTGAGAGAGACAGGCCTTCCAAAAATAAAGAAGTTGAAATTAAATCATCGACAATTGTTTTATTGGCAACATTTGCTCAAAGATAGTAATATCTATTCAAAACAAGTATAAAAGTTTTATATTAACCAACTGTCAGAGTTCAAGAGTCCATTAATAGATATGAATGGGTCTAGATATAGAAATCATTTCAATTTAAGTTTAAAGAAGTAAAACTTTTTTCCATTTTCCCCACTCTCTGTAAAAACTTTCAAGAGAAGCATCACCTTTAGCGGTTGCTATGTATTTTTTGACATTGTGGTGGTCTTTCAATAAATTGATAAGAGAATTTATGTTAAGTGTGGTTTCAAGACATCTGGTTTTGTAAATGTAATGTTTAATGATGATGTTAATTTCATTATCAATTTTACTGAACTCATTTCTAATTGACCAGAACCCAAAAATAAATGATTCTTTATTAATAGTAAAAGGAATCAAAAGTGCGTCTAAGAGTATTTACAGCTCAATAAGTTAAAAATAGGACTAAATTGTTATACAATGTGCATACATAATAATGAAACTATTTAAACATGATTTGTTTATGGACTGAAAGAATATAACCCCGTCTAAATTTCGACCATAACCACAAATGTATTATCTGATAGATATGGATTTTTCATCTGTTAAATCTGTTTATCCGTTATTCTTGAAATATTGACATTTTTTTTTCATATTTGCTCACTTTTGAAGGGGACTGTGTGGGATGAGTATTTCAAAAAATGTGTTTTAAACTGCATTTCAACAAGAACTGTATGTCAATTATGCTTTAAAATACAGGAAATCATCGGGAACTGGTCTTGACAAGCGAAGCAACAATTAGTAAGAAAACAGATCATACACAATCCTGTTCGAGTTATCTCCCTTGACAAGAGTTTCCGTGCAGAGTTATCATCCTCGATATCCAGGGGTTACGCTTACTTTCGCTCTCTACACCCCTGGACTATGTCATAGCAAGATTGAAGGCTCAGTGTGCACCACCTTGTGGATGAGACGAGAAGACTAGTTTGGTCCTCTGATATTGAGAGCGAAAGTGAGCGTAACCCCTGAATATCGAGGAGGCAGATTTATATGAACTAGATCATTTTTGTGTTTTCTGTTGACCCCAGCAGAACATGTCCTGCCCAAATACCGAGTGTTGATATAGAATAACGATGAAAATGTATTAAGGTTATCTGCAATTAATTTAATTTAATTAGGAACACTATACTAACCGATTGATTCATTATAAAAATGTCAATATTGAGATTTTAACATGAAAATCGTAGGTGAATTCAATCCTAGTACGATACGTACAAAAACTGACCAGAATCAGCTTTGGTTGTTCAACAGTTCAACATAAGTAAATAATTAAAGCATTTTATCAGTTATATTAAGATTTAAATAGTAAACCTGTATAAGGTAACCATACCTCATCAATTACCTAATTAAATAATTCAAGAAATATGAATCACATAAATTCTTAAAAAATATAGCATCTGATCTTTAAGAAATCACCTGTGGGGTGTGCGTTTCATAACATGTCAGCAGTGAGTAGCTTTAGATAATCTCAAAATGAACGGTAGACATTCATATGGAGATAAATACAGAAATAAACAAAACAATTACATGTATCATTGTTGAATTTTATTTTATAAAAGAATGTCGCAAAAGTGTAAATTTGAATCATGCGAACTATTTCATTTACTGACACGGTCATCGATAGGATGCTCCCTAAAACGCGACCTCTTCAAAAGAAGATTTACGTCAACATATTCATTTTTAATTTTTTGCGTACCGACTCGTTACCTAACCATGCTTTAAACAACTGGAATCAAGATTCGTTCAATCAAACTTCTTCAACTTTACGATACACAAAGGCAAAATGAATTAAAAATAATTCTTTTCTTTTTTATGTACCTACCTGGGGAAGGAAACGATTGCTTTCCTCACATGGGCGAGCGTTCAACATTAAATAAAAAGTGAGGTATTGTCGAGCAAGGCGTTATGAAACAAAAGGTAGTAAGAAGTAGAGAGAAATACACAGATGGTAAATATTGCCATGCGGTTAAGCAGTTTTATTTCCGTCGCTTTTGTGTCCCCAAATAAAGGGCGCAGATGAAAATCTCCAATTCTGCGGGGGGTTTATACAATAGTCGCCTCTTTCGACCGTGCAGTGGGTACATGCACTAACCTAGCATTCTTTTCGCATTCCACGACCTGCATGGGTGGCCGTCTTAGGTCTCATTCGGCTGGGTTAAAGACCAAGTTATTCGTTACAATTCAATTCAATTCAAGTTTATTCCGGGGCCTTACGACCCATAGGTATACATAAATATGATACATGATATTACATACATATTTGGAGAGTGATCTCTCTTGACGTGCAAACAGAACACAGAAAGTTACATGCACAAACACACACTGACAGAGACGGGAGGTAACTCCGCGGCAATGTTACCTTGATTGCGATTACATAAATGCTGAGTCAATCTACCAATTATTGCTTAGTTTAATGAAAATATATTGTACACCATGCATTAGCAATACTATTTGTATTATACAGACAGACAGACAGACGTACACAGGCAGACATACAGTATGAAGTATTCAGGGTCAGGGACATGCTTACAAGTTACAGTGGTACACGACTTATATCAATTATAATGATATTTGCAAGGTACTACATACTAATATTGATTAACACAGGTACGTTAAATAAGGGACTTGCGCAAGTCTAAATGCCTTGCAAGTCCGTGGTATAAAACTATCCCACAAATAAATCACTATATGTACATTACACTTGTACCTTTTATGTCTGTATTCACAAATTGATTGGTTCCATTATTACGTCATTCGTAGTCCGATAAACTATTGTAAACATCAAAATAAATATAACCACGGACCGCATTCTCAGTCCGGGTTTGTTTTGTTAGTGTGTCAATTATAATACACCGGAAGCAACATTTTTACAAGTAGGCACATGCACACCTAAGGCAGTGTAAACAAACCGGTGAAAGTGTTTGTGTGTGAGTGTGAACTTGTCCCGAAGGGATTATGTATTAGTCAATTGATTTGGACATTGCGGCACTGTTATCGGGCCTCACTTATTAACGGGTGTAGAATCGGAACGTACGAGGAACGGGTATAGAAGGGGTCGATAACGACGGGAAGCACAGTAATATAACATGGCATTGAATTCGAAGGACTTTACCGGTACACATTTTGATCGCATTGCCTTCAATATTTTCCTGTTCGGTGGGATTTTTCTCTTATGGTACGAGGCCTGCTTTGTTCTACCTTCCTATGATCCGAACACTGTCCAGTACGTGTGGTTTCACTACTTAGTGGCCGGATGGCTGGCCTTCAGTATCTACGGAAACATGTACAAGCTCAAGACCACAGATACCGTACACAAGAGACGCGGAGAGGACGGCGTGGTTGCGAACAAACCTCGTGGATGGAAGTACTGTCGTACGTGTGTTATGGACACGCCTGCCCGGTCACACCACTGTAAAGTTTGTAACGTGTGTATACTGAAGAGGGACCACCACTGCTGGTTTGCGGCTTGCTGTATCGGCTACCATAATCACCGTTATTACGTTGTCATGGTAACATATATGGTTATAGCCGGTTTGTATTGTAATTCATTTAACTGCGATTTCGTCACTTCCGTTACGGGCGGATTCAGTGTGATGAACGTAGTGTGGTTCCTGGGGCCACATGTGGGCTGGGTGTTCGGATTCTTGGACGGATATCAATTCCTCATCTACTTGCTCAGCTCAGCTGGAATAATAATGACAGTTTTGTTTACATGGCTTTTGGTGATACAAATAATACAGATAAAGAGCGGACAGACCAAGTATGAGAGGACCATGGAAATACACAATTACAATATTAAACGACAATGGAATATACAGGAAGTCTTCGGGGAGAAATCATTTCTTGTGTTTCTGTCACCATTTTTGAACTCTGCTCTACCTGGAGATGGCATTGTGTTTAGTGCCGCAGATTAATTATAAAACCGGTCTTCGTGGTATTGTGTAGACGTTACTCACGGATTTATAATGTAATCATAGATGATTTGGGGGGAAAAGGCTGGTGTGTGAGACGTGCTTCATAGAACTAGTGGCAGTAGTATACAGTCTATACAAATGTACTTGACTGTGTTTCCTGATGTTTGCATTGTATTTAGTGTCGCTGATAAACAGTAAATCCTGTCTTCGTCAAATTAAGCTCACAACCTTTATGTTTTGAAAAGATTATAGATATTCTAAAAACAATGACGTTTGCAATATTCATGTTTTTCTTAGAATGATCTCGTAGTCGATGCTGTATGCTGTTTTATCTGTCGATGGTATGATATTTAGTGCCACGGATTGACAATAGAAATTGCGCCTTATTAAATAATGGCGAATTTGATGAATGCTTAATACCACTTTAATAAAAATATTAAAAAAACTAACCTTATTTGTTTTCAATTCTAATCTATGTATTTCGTAAATTGACCTAGTATAGATTGTATGTATTGCTTGAGGCTACATACATGTACATGTAACTCGCACAACCAAATCAGACAGTCGGCATATGTAGCTCTTATGATAAGTTAAATCCGTAAACTTACAGTGCCTCTGAGGAATTTAAATGGGCAACTGGTGATCGATTTTTGAATGAAAAAATCGAGGTTATTTAACTTTTTACACTGTATAATTTAAGTGTATTCGTCTATGGCTTTGCAGTGGTAAATGCATGTAATAAGGGGATGTTTCTGTTAGAAATCATGGGATTTGTTTGTAAACTTCCGGTTTTCAATTTCCAAAAGCTGTACCACTCTTATATGCCATTAAACTCGTTACTATAGTCTTCTCAACCTTTGTCAGTTATGTATCAATGAATCTAGACAGATGTCACTATTGTTGAACTTCAAATATAAAAGGTTGTAAGTTAATTGTTAAGCAATACGAAATATAGACCTACTGAATTATTTAGCTGTGTGAGTTAAAAGTGTTTTTGTGCCGAAACATAAAATGACCTCAGCATACATCGTTTGTTAAATTGTGAGATTGTCAAATATATTTGTATCTGACAAATATACATCATACATTTCCTACAGATAACATATTGTACTTAATTAAATCAAACTTGTCAACTTTTACCTAGATCACAAATGTTTCACGATCGATCGGTATATATGATAATCTCACTGTTTCTATAAAGAGTTGGAAAAGGTCACTTCTGGAGTGATTTTTGGATAAAAATAAATATTTTCCTTACAACAAACTTCAAGTTCTAGTTCAAGTGTCAAATCACGCCTTTTACTACAAACCATAAAAACCCTTATTTCTAAGGTATTTTCTGAATCACTGGACCATGACTGCACAGGTTGTTTTTTACACAATGATAAGAGTCTGGGCTATACAGTATATAGGCTCGTCTTGATTGGTCAACATATTTCTACCATAATGCACTTTAATTTTGTACAATATACATGGATGTATCATACTGACCCAAATGGCGGCTGTTGTATGTCGAATATTAATCAATTCAGCAATCTACAGATGTGTAAATAGGCAATTAGACATAACAGCAAAAATGACTTTGATAAATGTGTCGCGACATTTTTTCTTTTGAATTCAAATTCAAATTTGATTTGACCGCCATTCTAAAATAAAATCGATAAACACCGTTTTTCAATAATGAACTTTATCTTCTGGTTGTCTCCCTTTACCCATGTTTTATTAGTGTTTTGTAGGGCAGGTCTCGCGTATCACGATTTGTCCCCAATTATTTCCGACTTTGTTGTGATTTTCATGCAACTATACAGTAAAGTATGTAAAGGTTAGTGTATGGTTTTCGAGTAACAAGGGATATATTACAGCTGAGCGAAGCGAGGTTGTAATAAGTCCTGAGTGACGAGAAATCATGCAATAACTGGCTTACTGTATGCTTCCCAACTCGAACAAAACAGAAAAATTGATTAAAAAAAAATCACCTGGACAATTTTTTACCTACCCTATACTGCAGATAATTAACATGTACCTGTGTGAGTGAGTACTAATCAGAACTAGGTAAGTTTATTTTTATTCTCAATAGCCCAGTCTGAGTGTATCCTTCATAATGGATACAAGTGTTTTTGGATTACTATCCACCTCCGGTGTCAGGAAAGGTAAGGAGTGTCTGTTCAACAATTAGAACAAAATACGGGAAACAATGTTGAATTTCTGACTACATTTTCAGTTTAATTTTCAAGATGTGGCAAAGGTACAGGATATTGAAACCATTTGCATGCATACAATGTAAGGGTTTATCAATCCCGAAGGAATTCCACTTCTTTCAATGAATGGTATATTTTAATGTGCTATTTTGTATAAAGAAACAGCTCCTAAAGATTATAAACTTTTCCAGGAAACGCTTATCGTCTCACGTAATAAGGAAATCAATAACGCTGTCAACTCAGTAATTTTCGTTGTTTGTTTTTCAATCATGAAATTACCTTTTTTAACTTTTTTTTTTCTTTCTTATTTTAAATGTGTCAACTAAGTTTATCCTTTCCACTGTATTGACTTCATCGTTACTTACTTATTGATTATCTCCCCTTTCTTACAGCATTTGTGACAACATTCCACTGGGCACACCCCCTTTCATGGTCATGTAATCATGATTGGCCTTGAAAGGGGATTGTGTGCAGTGGATTGTGGTAGCAAGTGATTTATTGCCAACAGTTTTTTCCGTTGTGAGAGGTGGGAAGTATGCAGTAAGAGAAATACTGACACATTATACTTACTTGACCATGCATTGTCTGGTCACTTTGTGGGGTAACAGGGAATACACAGATGAGATTTGTTAAACATTACCATAAGTAGTATGGGGCATATTGACAGACGAGGCTAGTACGTGTGTACATACTGATACCTTCTGCTTGTGTACAATTCACAATAATTATGTGTTTGCGTATATGCCTATGTAATGGTACATTATATAAGGACAATAAACATGATAGTATGCCGAAATAAAACAACAATGCAGTTGTAAAGATGATTAGAATGACGCGTCATTGTTGTCGTCTGCTTGAGTCATTCGGAACTCGGTTGTGGTAGATCTTTTTCACTCGAAACTGAGGTTCAAGATTAGGCAAAAGCTGGCCGTGCACAGCTCCCGTTTATTACGGTATGGAATTGAGGGGAAAGTTTGAACCTGGATAAAGGCCTTCCTGGAAGATATGGTACGACGAGTAACGATTAATGGTACAACCTCAAACCTGAAACCAGTCACAAGTGGAGTCCCGCAAGGGAGTGTTTTAGGACCAATACTGTTACTGGTCTGTGTCAACGACATGCCTGATATGTTAAGCTGTACGATCAAACTATTTGCGGATGGCACTAAACTCTCTGCAAAAATGTAACATTAGCAGACCGCCAAAATCTACAGGACAGCATAAATCATATGTGTGACTGGACCAAACCTTGGCTCAGTTCGGACAGAGTTAAGGCGACCATATATATACACTATGCACGAGTAGAATACGAGAAAGACCTAGGTGTCCATATAGACAATAAGTTCAAATTCTCCATCAACGCCAACTGCCAGCTGCATCAAAAGCAGATAGGGTGCTGGGCATACTATTACGGACTTTTACATACATGAGCCTTGTACTGTTCTTAACTCTATACAAAACGCTGATTAGACCTCGACAACAGAGGCGACAAAATTACAATCGAGAACATCCAAAGAAGGATTCCAACTCTTAAAAACGTACCATACGGAGAACGCCTTAGGCAACTCGAACTCCCAACTTTCGAATATAGGAGATACAACAAGATACAAGAAACTTTATTTAACGTCGCATACAGGTAAACAAGGAACATTAGCTCTTGAGGGCTATTATTGCGACATACATATGTAAAAAAACAATAACATATTATATTTCAAGTAAAGGGAGATAATCACATATATTAATAAAAAGCAGTAATAATCATCACAGAGAAAGAAAGTATCCATATCCCAGGTTTCTAAGTGATTGGGAGTCCCCTGCATACAAAGGCCTCCGGGATATGACCATTTTGAAACAATAAAATATATAAAAAATAGTGTTAATATATGAAAAGCATTAAATGTGATCACAGATAAGTAGTACAGAATAAGTAAATAAAAGACATAGTTAATAGTGAATGAATACTTGTATATCACACAATAAATACTTAGGACTTAGGATTAAATCACTATGTCGTGGAATATACATACAATGCTAATACAGCAAAGAATAAAAATTGACAGAATATACACTATTATAGTGTGAATTAAAAAATGATACCGGAATCAATTACAAAATTTATCAAGTTTTGTAAAAATTCATATTTTAGAATGTTTTCATCCCGTGTCGAGAGATCGTGCTGACGTAATTCAAACCTATAGAATATTAAACAACATGGACTTTCTCGACAAGGGCAAACTATTCCATGAAGCTGAAGACAACCGAACCAGGGAACTCCAGGAAACTATTCAAAAGACCATGCAGACTAAACAAATATGGTAATTTCTACAGCAACAGAGTGATAAACCTGTGGAACTCTCTAACAGAGGAGGTAGTAACCTCTCCAACGCTTAACACCTTCGAGTCACAGCTCAACAGCCACTGGAAACATCACCCGACAAAATTCAAGCCATCTTTTTACTACAATGTAGTCACATATATATGTAAGTCCAATCAGTCAAAAGTGAACAATGTAACAAATTGACTGTTTGGCACTGACCATGCTTTTAAAAATTTCATGTTTTTAACCATCAAATTGTAAAGAAGAGGAACCAACAATGGAAGTTGAATACTCGAACCCTACCAGATAAGGAAATGAACTTGTAAATATCTAGCAAGTGTTCAGAGTAATTTTACACGTTTTAGGGGCTTTAGAACATCAGGTTTCGGTAAAAATGCCACCCCAAAGGCCATGTACATTATATCACCATTGAAGTGGCATTTTACCAAAAATTGATCTAAACCCCTAAAACGTTTAAAATTACCCTGAACACCTTAGTTTAGGTCCAAATATAGCTGTAACGACTTCTCAAGTCTCCGTGGTTAATGTCTCGAGCTGTGATACGATCCCAGTATGTCCGATTGAAATTGTTTCGAATGTTTCTGATACAATGTATGAAATAATAATTTGGTTTAATTATGTTTAACGTCCTATTAACAAATAATAGTACGTACATGGTACTGCAGGATCTGCCTACAATACACCAATAATCCTACTATGCGGCCGCCGTTGGCAATGAGAATAATGCAGGGTATCGTTTCTTAAAATCTGGATTTCACAAACATTTTGTACACGAATGGTTTTTAAACATGAACATGACTTTTTCAGATTGATAGATATTTTTGGAAGCAAGTTTTAGATTTCTAACACTCTAGTTTTCACAACTGGATGCTATGAAAATGGTTTCAATGGTTTATGATAATAATTCGAGGTCCTTATATACCGCTTTGTCACAACCTAGTCTGTAGGTCGTCTCAAAGCGGTTCACAAATTATTATCCGTGGTTATACGGCATTTGCAACCAGCCAATATCTTTCTCAACTCCCTGGGGAGCATACAGCCGGTGCTGCCATTGCGGCACTAACAGCTAGCATTTAACAATTCTAGCACTGCCCAACCACGTTATCATTTACAGCTGAGTAGACTGGAACACGCAGAGTAAAGTATCTTGCTCAAAGATACAACACAGTGCCGTGCCGTGACTGGAACCTGCAACCATTCGGTCACGAGCCCAGCGTTCTACTACTAGACTACCGTATCTCCTTTTTGACTAATTCAATTTCGACATGTATTTGTCAGTAAAAACGCAGATTGAGGAAGGCGGTATTTGACGTTCACTGTTTCAATACAGTGTCAAGAAATAAACTGTGTTGTAGGACAGAAATTCACTCGGAAGTTGTTGATGAGCGAACGATATATTGATGTAACAGTGGTGATGTCGCTGTCCTACGTGTATGTAACAATATCAACACCATTATGGTCGTACTATACCGTCAATGTCTTTAAATGACCTTAGTTGTTGATGTGTATTGATATATTGATGTAACAGTGGTGATGTCGCTGTACTACGTGTATGTAACAATATCAACACCATTATGGTCGTACTATACCGTCAAAGTCTTTAAATGACCTTAGTTGTTGATAGGACGTTATACTTTATGAAACCAATGGTACCACCTTCAATATGTAAAACCATAGGTAACTATCTGAATGGAATCGCTAGTTGTAGCCGAGATAGACCGATGATTCCATTGTAAGTAACCGTGTGCAATTTCTGTGTAGAAACCCCTGCTGCGTTATCTCTACACAAATGTCTTCATATGCTGTAAACATTAGCAGTGTAATCAAATTATGTCTTCACACATTGGACTTTGTTTCTGTATATTGCTTTCATTGGAATGCTATGAGTTGGCCAAATCATCAAAGTCGATAATCCGCTGAAATTTGAGTCCGCTTAGATACACAGTATTGTTGAGTTTGATTGCATTAACTGTGTCTGTTAAATTCATTAAAAGTTTATTTTCATTTTTTTACTGACTACGAATTTCGAGTTTGATGTATTTAAATGCATTTTATTTCCCGAAACTGCTAAAAATTGACCTTGGTTTCAGTTTTAACGCCGCTTTTACAACATCATATGTACAGAATCGATACATATCTAATTCAGAAGGGAGATGATTGGGTGTTTCTTAAAAGGATCAGTACGTGGTATAGCAAAAAAACCTGGTGCACGTATATGGTGATCGCGTGCTTTTTCCTTTACTGAACCTTCTAATTTACACAATTGAATTGATACATCCGTCGTGCATTGGGCTAGCCACTTTATAAAGTCACTCTCGTGATCCTAAAAACGGTATTGACCTCAGGGATAAAGAATTTATTGTAGGTTCTAATTTCAAGACGGCTGTAGGTCCACACTATTGATTTCACAAGCGAACACCAGACTAACCGTATGTCTCACGTTAGGATATGTACTGAACTCAAAGTTCACAGACGGTAGATACCACGTGACCAGACATATCCTTAACTACCATACACTGCTAATATTTCACTTGGATAGGACTACTTGACCTATACCGCAAAAGAAAGCCATTTACATTGTAGCTACCACTTAGCTACCATTTATATACCACTTAGCTACCATTTAGCTAATTTGTTAATTGTCATATTGGAATCGGTCCGGTGAAAACAAAGCGAGCAAAACATTATCGGAACTAAGTAATAAAAATGAATTGACCGTTAGTAAAAATCACATAAAAATAATAACGTAATGATCATTTAGATTATTAAACAATCAGCATATGAACTTTTATTATAATGGAAAGTACCACATGAAGTACATGCAAAAAGCGCATGAGAAAATGTTGATAAAAAATAATTAAATGCCGATATATGTGTATAAATTTGTTTTTCCCAACGTCTTTGAATCCTGATTGATATGTTCCTTTAAAACTCTCACTCATACTGTGTCCCGATGTATGCAGTGCCATCATGTACATATATGTAGCAAAATACCCCAATACCATCCTAAAACCAACAGGTCCGAACACCATCCTAAAACCAACAGGCCCCAGCATCATCCTAAAACCAACAGGCCCAATACCATCCTTATACCAACAGACCCCAACACCATCCTCATACCAACAGACCCCAACACCATTCTCATACCAACATATCACCATCCTCATACCAACAGACCTCAACACCATCCTCATACCAACAGACCCCGACACCATCCTCATACCAACAGATCCCAACACCATTCTCATGCCAACAGATCCCAACACCATCCTCATACCAACAGGTCCCAACACCATCCTCATACCAACAGACCCCAACACCGTCCTCATACCAACAGACCCCAACACCATTCTCAGACCAACAGAGCCCAACACCAGCCTCATACCAACAGACCCCAACACCATTATCATACCAACAGGTCCCAACACCATCCTCATACCAACAGATCCCGGCACCATCCTCATACCAACAGACCCCAACACCGTCCTCATACCAACAGACCCCAACACCATTATCATACCAACAGGTCCCAACACCATCCTCATACCAACAGCCCCCAACACCATTCTCATACCAACAGATCCCAAGACCATCCTCATACCAACAGGCCCCAACTTCATCCTCATACCAACAGACCCCAACACCATACTCATACCAACAGATCCCAACATCATCCTCATACCAACAGCCCCCAACACCATTCTCATACCAACATATCACCATCCTCATACCAACAGACCTCAACCCCATCCTCATACCAACAGACCCCGACACCATCCTCATACCAACAGACCCCAACACCATTCTCATACCAACAGATCCCAACATCATCCTCATACCAACAGACCCCAACACCATTATCATACCAACAGGTCCCAACACCATCCTCATACCAACAGACCCCTACACCATCCTCATACCAACAGACCCCAACACCATCCTCATACCAACAGGCCCCAACACCATTCTCATACCAACAGATCCCAACATCGTCCTCATACCAACACCATTCTCATACCAACAGGCCCAAACACCCTCCTCATACCAACAGACCCCAACACCATCCTCATACCAACAGGCCCCAACACCATCCTCGTTCCAACAGGCCCGAACACCATCCTCAGACCAACAGGCCCCAACACCATTCTCATACCAACAGATCCCAACATCATCCTCATACCAACACCATTCTCATACCAACAGGCCCAAACACCATCCTCATACCAACAGACCCCAACACCATCCTCAGACCAACAGATCCCGGCACCATCCTCCTACCAACAGACCCCAACACCATCGTCATACCAACAGGCCCCAACACCATCCTCATACCAACAGATCCCAACATCATCCTCATACCAAAAGATCCCAACACCATCCTCATACCAACAGGCCCCAACACCATCCTCATACCAACAGACCTCAACACCATTCTCATACCAACAGACCCCAACGCCAACCTCATACCAACAGATCCCAACACCATTCTCATACCAACAGACCCCCGCACCATCCTCCTACCAACAGGCCCCAACACCATCCCCATACCAACAGGCCCCAACACCATCCTCATACCAACAGATCCCAACACCATTCTCATACCAACAGATCCCAACACCATCCTCCTACCAACAGGCCCCAACACCATCCTCATACCAACAGACTCGGGAACACGGCGTTTACACCCTACACCTACTAACACATTTCTGCTCCAAAGACACATACAAATACTCATTTTCACCACAGACTGTCACACAATGGAACCTGCTACCAACAGCAGTATAATAAACAACAATAAATGACTACATGCATCTTCACGCTATGCAGTCTTCCCAACCAACACTGGCATAATCATCAACATGGACGGCGCCTTTAACTTATAAGAAATAGGAAAAAGAAAAAGAAGAAGAAGAAGAAGAAGAAGAAGAAGAAGAAGAAGAAGAAGAAGAAGAAGAAGAAGAAGAAGAAGAAGAAGAGGCGATAAATGTAAGACCCCTACAGAATCGAGGAATTGATCTGCTGCCCCAATTGCACCATTTAAGATATGTATCTTTCTTTTTCTCGCTTCCCTACTCGTTCTGTTCGGCGGTGTCGTTCCAGACAGCCGTTTTCAAATGAGCTTATATTTAGCTGCTGCGATAACTGTATACCCAAACAAACACATGACTCCCCTTCGGCTATCACATACTACTTTATACCGGGAAATGTTCGCTGCAGTTCCATGTTTGCTTTATCGCCCTCCGTGATGGGGACGAATTTATCATTACAGCGAACATTAGTAAACAACATGATATACAAAACAAGACAATTCGGTCAATTATAGTTCCCCACCGAATGTGAAATGCACAGAGGATAAATTCGCGCAGGAACTAATTCTATATATGAATGTTTGACATACCCACCGTATTCAATAAGGAATAGCGTCAGAGCTACTATTGCAAATAAATATGGTGGATGCTTACTGGTTAGTGGTACCGTTTATCTATTAAATTGCATCTGGTGACACTATGCATTTGTATGCTTCTTCTGCAATGTAAGTGACACCATGCCCCAAGCAAGACGTTCCAGTAACTAGTAGTGTAGGAGATAGAGCCCGGACAAACTTTTTCTTTGATGCAGGTTAAAGATAAAAAACAGAGTGACCTACTGTGATATACGGCACACCGCCCCATCAAGATGAAACCATACTCCAGGCATACAGTTCCATCTTCTAGTAGTGTAGGAGATAGAGCCCGGACAAACATTTTCTTTGATGTAGATCAAAGGTCAAAATGTCGGTCAGTGTGACCTACTTTTAATACACGACACACCGCCTCGCCAATGTGAACCCATACCTAAAGTGTGCAGTTCCGGTGACTGGTAGTGTAGGAGATAGAGCCCGGACCAACTTTTTTTTGATGTAGGTCAAAGGTCAAAATGTAGGTCAGAGTGACCTACTTTTAATACACCACACACCACCTCGCCAATGTGAACTCATACCTAAAGTATGCAGTTCCGGTGAATAGTAGTGTAGGAGATAGAGCCCTGACAGACTTTTTCTTTGACGAGGTAAAAGGTCAGAATGACGAGAATGCTTCGATGAATTTTTATTTTTCATATTAAAAGTCAATGTCAAGATGCATTTCATCTCTTTTAAAATATGTTCATTAATCATACGAAAGCGATGAAACCAACAATTTAATTGTTATTTTTGCAGGGGTATCCGAATGCATAAACTAATTTGCATGTTCATCGATGCAGATGGCTCACTATACAGGATAAAGCGTACACATGTTTTTTGTGACATGATACATCCATCGAGCTATATTCGTGACGACTATTGCCTTATTTGGTGATGTAAACTAATCATCCCTTGCTGGGTATTACTTTACGTTATCCGATACGATCGTGCCACAATTTGTACTAGTAACATATCCGTTAATGTTTCTACTGGTTTCCCGTCTGGTGATTATGCTGGCTATTTGTGCAATTTCGTTTGCTTCGGGTTTTTTCGCCCTTTTCGCAAGGTTTAATAGTTTGCTTCAATATCGTTCGTTCGTGTTTTTAAGTAAGTAATTAAATCTTGTCAAGACGAAACGATGGAAATGAAAAGTTACAGAACCACGTACAGTGTATCGGGGTTTTTCGGGGCGAAAAGCTTCCACCGTAGATAATAAACAAAGAGCTTTTTATTACAATGTCTAACTACATTTCACAGCAAGTACGTTTACATTAAAACATATATATAAGAGTAAAGCATGTCCAGACTAAGTATAGTTTACACGACGCTATATAATGAGATCTACGAACAACGTACTTTATAATAGATCAAGGTAAGCTGGTTCCGTGCCATGTAAATGGTATTAGCCATTGTATATCAGTTTTAAAACGCACGTTGTAGTTGAATTGTCTTCCCCACAATACATAGAGAGTGAATTTTGTAGCAACAGGCCCCAACACCATCCTCAAACCAACAGATCTAGACCCCAACACCATCCTCAAGCCAACAGAACCAACACCATCATCAAACCAACAGGCCCCAACACCATCCTCAAACCAACAGATCTAGCCCCCAACACCATCCTCAAACCAACAGAACCAACGCCATCATCAAACCAACAGGCCCCAACACCATCCTCAAACCAACAGATCTAGCCCCCAACACCATCCTCAAACCAACAGAACCAACGCCATCATCAAACCAACAGGCCCCAACACCATCCTCAAACCAACAGCCCCCAACACCATCCTCAAACCAACAGATCTAGACCCCAACACCATCCTCAAACCAACAGAACCAACGCCATCATCAAACCAACAGGCCCCAACACCATCCTCAAACCAACAGACCCCAACCCCATCCTCATACCAACAGACCCCAACACCATCCTCATCCCAACAGGCCCCAACACCATCCTCATACCAACAGGACCCAACACCATCCTCATACCAACAGGCCCCAACCCCATCCTCATCCCAACAGGCCCCAACACCATCCTCATACCAACAGGCCCCAACACAATCCTCATACCAACAGGCCCCAACACCATCCTCATACCAACAGAGTGAATGTTAACATGTGTTCATTGTGTTAGTCGCACTCGTGTTAGTTAATAAAGTAATAAATCTTTAAAAGTTTAAACAGAACACACTTTAGCGAGTTTTCATTTCTAAATTAATTCAGGAGTGTTACGTAAACATGATAGACCATGGTCACGACCTGTACCTATTTTGTTTACAGCAATTTTCGGTGATATTGTTGGGTGATCTATATGGTTGTTTGGTAAAAGAGGGATCAAACCATGAATGGAATTCGTTGAGATACATAATGTACATGTGATATGTTTGCTGTCCCTTTACCCATCTCGCCCAATAAACTGGTTACATCGAATTTCGCGATGCCAAATTTTGTAAACCAACTTTTCGTAAGAAAAAAATATTCGCGTTTCAATCAACCTGTATGTGTTACATGTGCACGCAATAATATGAATAATTGTTGGAGTTGCAATTTAATTCGTGGTAGAAGTTTAAAGCGGATAAAAGCAAAATTCCTATCACAAGAAGATAAAATCATTATACGCGAAGATGAAATCATATCACGCGAAGATAAATCATATTATGCAAAAAAGATAGTATTATGCAAAGATAAAATTATATCCCGCGAAAATAAAAGCATATCACGTCAGGAAAATCAAAACAAGCGAAGATAAGTCTGATCATGCGAAAAAAGCATATCACGCGAAGATAAAAGCATATATCACGCGGAAATTAAATCATATCTCGAGAAATTTAATAAGCAGTCGTCAAAACTAAAAAAATATTAGAAGCAGTTATTGTTGTATTTCTGATGATAACCGTGCTACAAGCAGCATATGATTATTTTATCTACCCTACCCTACGAGTACACTGTCGTACAAATCAATGTACAGTTAAACAGTACTAACAACCAAATTACAATCGACAACGCAGCATTCACGCTTTGAATATATTGCCTAAGTATTCATTAAAACAAGTTCAAGACGAGCCCTCTCTCAATTGTAAAGTGACGAATTTCGATGTTATATGTTTCTGGATATTTTCACAGGTAGCAATGTTTCTCAGAGTCTCTAGTTACTAATGTAGTATAATTGTTGTAATGGCTTCGCTATTGCTTTAAATCAAATCTATTTATACTATAACATAGTAATCACTCATCAATATAAAAATAATAAACTAGGTCTTAGAGTATTTTGCACAAACTCTTCATCTGATTATGAGTTACCAGTGCGACACACGGGGGTTTGACGTGTCTTAGATGTTGGTCACAATAAACCAGTTGTAAATCTTCAGCTGTTATCGTGTTTTCGTATCATTTCAGGTTTTCACATCTAGATCACTTCTCGTCCTGTTTCTCGCCCTTATCTCCTTAACGACCGTTTTATATTAGTTTATACCTCAAATTGTCATTGATCAACTTTGCCAATTTGTCTTAGCCCAAGCAAAACGTTAGTGTCAAACCTCCCCAAATGGTATCAAGTACATATGAACCCCTTCATCTCTGAGGAAGAATAACCATGAGCTGAGACAAATGTGCCTTGTATGTTTGTTTAATCAATTATTTCATAAAATTGTATTCTAAAAGTGATATGACACAGAGAGGACATACATTATTAATATTTTAGTGATACGTGTATTAGTAAAGTTTAAATGTTTAAGATTTTTAGTAACTTGTGTACATTGAGATTTCCCGGGCAATGATATCAAATGTATTAAATGCGTCGTAACCATACGTATAATGTGAATAAGATATATAATTTTCTCATAATATGTACAATAACGTCAGCCTAAATTACATGTACAGTATACATTGGTTTGGTTTGTTTTTGTTTCACGTCCTGTAAACAGTTATGCTCATTGAATGACTGACAGGCGTTGGTGGATGAGGAACACCGGAGTACCCAGAGAAAAACACCGATCTGCGGTTATTCCTTTGCCACTGCCCCCACGTAGGCCAAGAACCGCGACCCAGTGGTGGTGGTGGTGGTGGTGGTAGGGGGCGACCCCGCCAAAATGATAACGCGATATATTAAAAATTACGTGACGTGAACCATACCATGCATACGTTGACGTTATACTTGGAAAGGCATTATCTTAAAGTGAAAATATTCTGATTAATTGAACGTAACTAATTCCCCCGATGATTCTCCCACACACACACACTTAGCCGATACCAGCACAACACTTCTGGGATTAAGCAATATGTGTAACAGCAATCTATAGGTTGAAATTAAACTTGTATCAGAAAAGTTCGATTTAAATTAAATTTCATACTGTTATTTTTAGAATTAGAAACGTTTCCCTTTAGAATAAATTTAAGTCAAAGTAACCAAGTTGAAATTTTAACACTGGGCCATGAGCTGTCAAGATTACAAGGCATTGATGAATCGATTCTGAAGGAAAGGTACATGAACCTTTTAAATATTAATCTGATGTTTATATTTTCAATCAAATGCGTTCTTAATTAATAGCATTTACATATTCGGGAATTATTTTTGTGTAACTTAAATAAATGTTGCATAACTTTGCTTCCATTGATAATTGGAAACAAATATTCCTCGATTTCTGGAAGCACAGGTTCGGGAGTTACGTAACAGCAAAGTTATGAGCTTCTAATGTCCTGTGGGAGACCGATCCTTAGTAAGGAGCCTTTATGTTTGACGCTTTATTGGATCCGTTTTCTCTCCTTCTTTTGATATACACATCTGACCTATTTTCTTCCAAACGTCCTTTGTTGAATTGCTATTGAGATCTAATAACTCCTGCAGTCTGGCGAGCTGGCAACAGCGCTTCTCTCCTCTCAGTCAGGAAAGCTGGTAACAGCGCTTCTCTTCTCTCAGTCTGGCTAGCTGGTAACAGCGTTTTTATCCTCTCAGTCTGGTGAGCTGGTAACAGCGTTTCTATCCTCTCAGTCTGGCGAGCTGATAACAGCGTTTCTCTCCTCTCCTTTCAGTCGTGCGAGCTGGTAACAGCGCTTCTCTCCTCTCAGTCTGGCGAGCTGGTACAATTTTTAACAGCGTTTCTCTCCTTTCACACATCTGTCAAATGGTTTACGATCTCGTATAAGCGCCTCCTAACTTTCCCCGATCATGATATACTTTTGAGCCAAGAATACCGACTATCACATGTTATGGCCTATCGGCCGTTTTAAATCCATCCCGTTACAGAATAATTATTTCCATTCCCTTTTCGGGTTGATTTGTATTCCTATTTTTAGTTTGTGATCCATTTCATCCTTCGTAAGTTCCATAGGGTTTTATTCGTTTTTGTTTTCCTCTAACGCTGATTCAACAGAGCCACTACTTGTTAAAACAGTATGCATCTGAACATTTTTGACAGTTGCATTGGTGGCTGCATCGTGACTTGGTGGTATTTCGGTAAGATTTTCATATTCGTACCCTCTATGCCAAGATTTAGCTAAGGAGTAACCAGTCAAATAAGTCTAGTTCTTCTCCGATGCTTACTTTTTAAGCGGCCCAACACTTTTCATGAAACTTCATCGATTGGTTTGTAACACCCACATGGTGTATCGAGTACAACAACGTTTACGTCCAAGCTCCCAAGGTCAAGGTCACACAAACGGACAAAATATAGAAATCACAGTCATTATTGCCCCTAACGTCAGGAAGGCTAAACATTTAACTTACTAAGCGTCATAGATGAATGTATTAAGATTAGTGAAAATAGCTCTTACTAGTACCATATTCGTACCCCTGAAAGTAAACAAGAACAATGGGTCAAAGTTCAAGTTGTTCTTATCCTTATCAAGGCCATGTCCCATTTAAAAACAATAAACAATCTATTGTAATACTTGCAATCGTTCGTTCCGTCGTCCTCTTTTCTATTAAAAACAAAGTGTCCTGTGTTTCTGTAATGCGATCCTTCATTTATGTATGTCTGTCTTGTTCCAACATCTGTTTACTGTAAATGTGGAAATGTTCGCATGTGCAACTGTTTGCATTGAGACCATTTAAACTGATCGCGGTGTGGAATGTTCGCTTTTGCAATGATCTATAATCTATATAGTCTATAGATAAACATTCGCGTGTAGATATTTTGGCGTTAATTTACTCAACGCGAAAAACGTGAACATTTCCACAGCGCGAAAACTTTCCACGTTTACAATATTTGATTAAATGACGAATTAGAAACTTTTTATATCTGATAATGATTACATTTTTATTAAGGACACCGTCATTGGAATCTTTAGTTTAATTCGATAATGCAGACGTTTGATTGTCTCAACGCACTCCGTTATACCGATTTATCGTCATCCATTCTCCTCTCTTATCGATAATGACAAACACTATTGGCAAATTTGTAATAAACAAAGGACACCTCCACAGTATCCTCCGCACGAGCAACATCTCGCCTCCATCAACAGAAGAGCTCTATAATCAATCAGGACTGACAAGGCGCTTTTTGTAAGCTGCATGTATAATAAAATCAATACAGTGGACAAACGTTCTCAAGACCTTGATTCTGAAGAACGTGATGTTAATAAATGAGACTAGGAAACACGAAGCACTCTGTGAATTACAAAGTTAACAATACACTATTCCAATCCACCCAACGCTATCTATATCAGACCGACATTTCATCTAGCCACGAGTCACATATAAACATACGCCTTCTACCCTTTTATCCAGGCAAAAAGAAATTGTTTTAAAGTGGCTAGCAAGCAATCGGAACCAAAGACCAATGCAGAACGCTTATAAAACGGGAGAAGTAAATTGTTTTAAAAGTGGTTTTGTCGATCAGAGACTTGTTTCAATCATTGTTATTGTACGAAAAAGGAGACGTTATTTTGCTCCGAGTGTTCAGGCAATTAGTCTATGGCTGTAGATTTGAGGGACTCGGCTGATTCCCTACGAGAGACTGGCAGTGTGGAAGCTACTCTATGTCAATGCGCTGAAGACTAATACCCTCCCGATTCATATGAGACAATTCATGATTTATTAACACAATCTAATTTTCCAGGTTTTGAAATTCAAGTTTGTATACATTATAACTTAAGAGCAATGTACGGCATTTAATCTT